AGCCTAAGTGTCCATCAACAGATGAATGGATCAAGAAGATGTGGTTTATCTATCCCATGGAATACTCCATGGCAATGAGAAAGAATGACATCTGGCCATGTGTAGCAACATGGATGGACCTTGAGGGTGTTATGCTGAGCGAAATAAGTCAGGCAGAGAAGGACAAATATATGTTTGCACATACAGGAGGATTAGGAGGAACTTGACGGAGGAACAAGGGGGAGAAGAAGGGGGGAAATGGTGGGCGAAAGGGAGAGAGGCAAACGATGAGAGACTCTTGAATGCTGACAAAAACTGAGGACTGATTAATGTGGGGGGGAGGAGGGATGGGCATGGAGGAGGACACTTGTGGGGATGAGCACTGCGTGTTATGTGGAAACTAATTTGACAATAAACTATCTGTAAAAAATAAAAATAAAAAAATGAAATAGGAATATGTTCATCAAGGAAGTAATATAATCTCTGTAACTGAGAATCAAAGGATAATTCAAAATCCTTGATTAAAGGAAGCCTATTCTTCTTTAAGAAACGCCCAATTTTCCATTGGTGCTCAAGCTTAAAAGGAATTTATCATATGAAATTTGCATAAGGAAATAATGAAAAATGTACTGGGCAAAAGGTACTAACATGGCTTTATAATAATAGTAATAGATGAATATGAACAAATTCCATATAACCAAGGCTGCTTCCCTGTAGTTTCCACAGCAGTTTTTATTTTTAAAAAGTAAAATCTAATCACCTTTCTCATAGCCTTTAAAATCATTTTCTTCACATAAATGTAGAATCTTAAAACACAAATTGACTTATCTATTTAGGTTCTTTTTTTGAACCTATTTTTCAGTCCCCTCAATCTATGTAAATTTCAAATCATTGGCTAATGAAATTATGAATGTTCTTAATGAATATGACTTTTCATATTATTTTTAGATCTCTGATAATATATTGTCAGAATAAGAAAATGTTAATATTGGAAAAGAAAAGTCTCAAATCAACAATCTAAGCTTCCACCACAAGGAAACAGAAAAAGAAGGGTAAAATAAACAAAAAGTTAGAAGAAGAAAGAGGATGATAACAATAAGAGCAAGAGTCAATAAGAAACAAAAACAAAAGAGAAAATCAAACTAAAAGTTTTGAAAAGATAAAATTGATAAACTTCTAGAAAGACTGACAAATATAAAGGGAAGATGTGATTTTCAAACATCAAGAATAAAAGAGGAATTCTAACTATAGAACCTACAGACATTAAAAGGAAAATAAGTGAATAATATAAGCAGGTCTATACGTAGAAAGTCAACAATTTACACAAAATGGCCAAATTCCCTGAAAACCACAAACACAAAAGTCACTCATGATGGAGTAGATAATTTAAGTAGTCTTACATTAAATAGACTGAATATGTGGTTAAAAAGCTGCCCCAAATGGAAGTTTCTAGACACAATTGTCTTTACTGGTAATATACCAAACATTTACCATTTGCCAGGGGCTGGGAGGAAGGGAGAGGAGAGATGTTGGTCAAGGGGTACAAAGTTTCAGGTATGCAAGAGGAATAAGTTCTGGAGATCTAATGTACAGCAATGAGACTGCAGCTAACAAAACTGCACTGTGTACTTAAAATTTTCTATGAGAGTAAATGTTAAAGTGTTCTCATCACAAGAAAGAAAGAAAGAAAGAAAGAAAGAAAGAAAGAAAGAAAGAAAGAAAGAAAGAAAGGAAGGAAGGAAGGAAGGAAGGAAGGAAGGAAGGAAGAAGTAAGGGAGGAAGGAAGAAGGAAAAAGAAAGAGGGGTACCTGGGTGGCTCACTTGGTTAAGCATCCGACTTCAGCTCAGGTCATAATCTCATGGTTAGTGGGTTCAAGCTCCACGTCAGGCTCTGTGCTGACAGCCAGCTCAGAGCCTGGTGCCTGTTTCAGATTCTGTGTCTCCCTCTCTCTCTGACCCTCCCCTGCTCACGCTGTCTCTCTCTGTCTCAGAAATAAATAAAACATAGAAAGAAAGAAAGAAAGAAAGAAAGAAAGAAAGAAAGAAAGAAAGAAAGAAAGAAAGAAAGAAAAAAAATAGGTAATTATGTGAGATGATGGATATGTTAATTAACTTGATTGTGATGATTATTTTAAATGTATATGTATACTCAGAGCTGGGATAGGGGAAATAAAATACAGCAGTTCAATACAAACTCTTCCAGAAAACCAAAGTGGAGGGAACACTTCCCAGGTCATATTATAAGGCTAATACCAAAGTCAAACAAAGACAGTACAAAAAAAAAGAAAACTACAGTCTAATTTTCCTTATGAACATAACACAAGTTTTCAACAAAATAAATCCATAAACATATAAAAAGAAAGATATACTATACCCAGGTATAGTTTATATTGTAAATGCAAAGCTGGTTCAATATATGAAAATCATAAATTTAATCTACAATTTTAACAGGCTAAGGAAGAAGAACCATATGTTCAAATCAATTGATGCAGAAAAAGCATTTGGCCAAATCCAACATCCATTCATAGTAAAACTCCCAACAAACTAGAAGTAAAAGGAAACTTCCTCAATCTAATAAAGAACCACAAAATTACTAATGCTAACAAGCACACTTAATGCCTGGAATCTTAATACTTTTCCCCCTAAAATTAAGACCCAGGTAAAAGTGTCCACTTTCCCTAAAACAATTTATATAGTACTTGAAGTCCTAGCCATTTCAATAATGCAAGAAAAAAAATAAAATTTTACAGACTGGAAAGGAAGAACTAAATCTATCCTTATTTGCAGATTGCAGGATTCTCTACATAGAAAATCCCAAGGAGTCTACCAAAAATTCCAGAACTCAAGTGAGTTTAGCAAGACCACTGAATACAAGGTGAACAAGTATCAATCGTACTTCTATATATTAGCAAAAAAATTGGAAATGAAAATTTTAAATGTACTATTTAAAATTGCTCTAAATAATTAAAACAAATTTAACAAAACATATACAGGATCTGTGTGGCAAATAATTCAAAATGCTGATTAAAATATCAAAGACCGAAATAAATGGTGAATCATGCCATGTTCACAGATTGGAAGACTCAATACAGCTTGGGTTCCCAGGGTTTTGGAGTAAAGTGTGCCTTTACTTCATGATAACTATCCTCCATTTGAAAACCAGCTTCTGATTTGCTGCTGGGTTCCCCATAAAGACTGAACTCCCTAAGCATGGGATAGCAAGTAACTATGGGATCCAAAATATCTATAATGAATATGGTTGTGTATTTCACTGAATCAAAATATTGGATGTATGCAAGATTATTCCTTCCTTTTATAAATTTTTTTAAATGTTTTATTTATTTCTGAGAGAGAGAGAGAGACAGCGTGAGCAGGGGAGGGTCAGAGAGAGAGGGAGGCACAGAATCCGAAACAGGCTCCAGGCTCTGAGCTAGCTATCAGCACAGAGCCTGACACAGGGCCGAACCCAAGAACCATGAGATCATGAGATCATGACCTGAGCTGAAGTCGGAAGCTCAACCGACTGAGCAACCCACGCGCCCCAAGACTATTCCTTCCTTAAATAGAATGGTAAATACAAGACCAGAAGGTACAAGCAAATTGTATAAGCAAGTGGTTCACACTCAGCTAATACTCCTACTACCTTAATACACAATCCTCCATGTTCCTTAGAGTCCTGTGGGAATTTCACTATAAACATTTGACATTTCCAGGGAAGAAAAAAATACTCTCCTTGGGTTATAGATATGTCTTCAAGGTGTGGTGGCATTATCTGGAAGTGAATGACTCCTGCATTACAGCCCCGCTCAGGAATGATCCTGAAAGACTCTGGGAAAGAAATATTCTCCCTATGGACAGAGTTTTGAGAGGTATCTTTGATTTTTCACTTTGTACAGAAGGAAACATTTATTTATTTTTGGAACACTTCACGAATTTGCTTGTCATCCTTGCTCAAAGGACATGATAATCTTCTCTGTATCCTTCCAATTTTAGTATATCTGCTGCTGAAGCTAGCATAGAAGAAGACATGTTAAGAGTCATACTGATTCATGACCAATGGCTCATTGAGTTGATTGGTATTCCAGGGCTAGGAAGAAATATAACTGGAAAATTAACAAGGAGCTCTGAAGTAGAGACTATGTGGATGCACTTCTAAGAATGGCACAGAGTAGGGGGAATGTTAATTTTTATTAGGGAATAAGACATGAGAGGGTGGAAAGCAAATGAAGTTTGGGTATTTATATCTTTGGCTCATTATGCTGAGACTTGAGTTGGCCATTGTAATGTTCCTCATAGTAAGCCTACAGCTCCCTTTGGTGCACTCTTTTCTGCCAGGTTGTAGTAATACTTCCTGCCTCCATGGCAGTTCTCCTGGTGATAATGGCTCCCTATTTTCACTTGTCACAGAGGCTTTACCAACCCTGCCCATTTTTTTTTTATTAGATCTCCTTAAGTATGCAATTGTTTCTTAATTGACCATGGCGATCCTGATCATAGACTACACAGGGGTGGGAATTTTAATTGCTTATTATCCCAGCATCTACAATGATATCCATCACACTGCAAGTTTTCAATAAATGCTTGTTGAGTGAATATATGTTTTGACCACTTTCCTTCCATTAAAACATGAATAGCAATTTCTTAAACATCATTAATAATCAGTTTTCAAAAATGCATGGTATCTGGTATTAAAATAGATGTGAGGAAACAGTGTAAACGGGTATAACTTTTCTGAAGACTATTTGCATTTATCAAATATTTAACATGTACACATTTTAACTGGGCAAGTTTATCATTTGGGCATTTATGCCAAAGAAATAATCATATATATATGCAAAAGATGTAGGGACAATTATGTTTGCTATGTATTATTTATAATAGTGAAAATTGGAGACAAGCTGAATATCAATCACAAAGAAATTGATTAAATAAACCTGATATGCCCTTACAATACAGAAAAGACTGATTTAATTCTACAAAGCCTGACAAGATAACTGGATCAGGAGATAACTTTAAGTGTAAAAATAAGTTGTAAATAAATAGTAACCATTCTCTTTGAAAAATGCATTGTTAGCTTTAGCTCCAAATAAAGTCTGGAACTAAGCTTCAGTTAATATTGGTTTTATTTGAAGATGAGATGGAGAGGAGGGAGCTTCCATTAGCCCATCATCAGTGCTTTATTTTGATCAAATTGAGCATGTATTTACATTTTTAAAAGAAACACATAAATATATTTATATTTAAAAGATAAACAGAGCAACTCAAGTGTTTAAAAAGTAAGTCTTGCTCAGCCCAGAAATGAAAGGCAATAAAATATCAAATTGCAAAGCGTATTACAAAACAAATAAATGGGGTCAGCGCTTCTTAAACTGTCACAGTTAGCTTTTGCATTTATATGTTCAAGGTTTTTTGTCCAGAAAGCTGCATTTAATGAAGAAGAAGGGTATTTGATTATTAAGGAACCAGTTACGGCTTTTATGGAAAATAACGCCTTTTGACCTTGCTAAAAAAAAAAAAAAAATCCCACAAAAACCATATTATCAGGGTCCATTTCTGCAAAGATATAAAGCTCAGTCTGATTAGGGGACATATCCACGACACTCGGGAATTGTCCAACACAGAATACTCTTCCTAGCCGGAGTAAACCCAGGCTCCCTTCACTCTGGCCGGGAACGAGGCCGTGGGAGGAAAAGCCAGACGGGAAAACTTCCCGGACTCCACCCACTGGGCGGAAGGACGCGCCCACACTAGCACAGCCCAGGCCGCCCCAGAGAAGCTTGGCCGGTGGACCCCCCCCCCTCAGCCCCCCCCGCCAGACTCCGCGGAGCGAGGCAGCGGTTCGCGCTGAGAGAGCAGCGGCGACGGGGGTGGGGAGTCCCCGGAGGAGCTCGTTACCACCTGCTGAGCTCCGCGCGCCACCCGCTCTGCAAGCCCAGGGCCTCCAAGTCCACACTCCAGTTAGTAGACTTGGAAGAGGCTGAGAACGGCGCGCGCCAGGGGCAGAGTTTTAAGAGGAGGGGGGCGGGGCGCGGAGACGTGGACGTTTCCTAGGAAGAATAAAGCCTTCCACGTGTGTTCATATAGATTGCAACTAACTTGTTGATGACTGTATTCCTTTTCCCCCCATCTAGTAAGTAGGATCCAGTTTAAAAAAAATTTTTTTTAACGTTTTATTTATAATTGAGAGACAGAGACAGAGCATGAGCATGGGAGACGCAGAGAGGGAGACACGGAATCTGAAGCGGGATCCAGGCTCCTAGCTGTCAGCACAGAGCCCGACGCGGGACTCAAAATCATGAACCGTGAGATCATGACCTGAGCCAAAGTGGAAAGCTTAACCGACTGAGCCACCCAGGCGCCCCGGATTCAGTTTTAAAAATCATCGCGGCGCCTGGGTGGCTGAGTCGTTTAGGTGTGCGACTCTTGATCTTAGCGCAGGTCAGGGTTGTGAGTTCAAACTTGCAGTTTTGCTAGGCGCTGGGCGTGAAGCCAATTAAAAAAAAAAAAAAAGAAAGAGAGAGGGGCGCCTGGGTGGTTTAGTCGGTTAAGCGTCCGACTTTCGCTTAGGTCATGATCTCGCGGCTCGTGGGTTTGAGCCCCGCGTCGGGCTCTGTGCTGACTGCCAGCTCAGAGCCTGGAGCCTGTTTCAGTCTGTGACTCCCTCTCTCTCTGACCCTACCCTGCTCACGCTCGCTCTCTCTCTCTCTCTCTCTCTCTCTCTCTCTCCTAGAAATAAAAAAAAAAAAAAGAAAGAGTGAAGGAAAGAAGGAAAGAAAAGAGTAAAAAGCTGTTCTTATAATATTATGCCTCTGTGTTCCTAATTTGTTTTTTTTTTTTAATCTACAAAGTGTGTAAACAGGATCATTTCTGGAAAATGTGTGATTTGCTTGATAACCATTCTCTTATTTTGCATTGTGTATACTTTTGTATATTATGTATTTTTGAAATTTGCTTTTTCCTTCCTCCTTTCCTGGAATAAACTCTTTTGGTGCCACTTTCCTTTGTACTACTGTTGTGCCCCATATTCAAGTGTCTATATTTACATTTCACAACCTTATTCCCAAGACATATTTGTATCTTGACTCCTCTGAGCAGCTTTGCATTTAAAAGGCACATTGATGGAGAGAGAATCCCTACTTTTTTCTTTGTATTACAAAAATTTTTTAAACATAGACAAGTAGAAAATGGTAAAATGAACATCCATAGATAGCCAACCATGCCATTGATTTAAGAAATCTTACTTAAAACTGTTGCCATATTTTCTTTGTTAGTTTTTGCTGAAATTTCCTAAAGTGAATTAACAAAGTTAGTTTCAGTGTTAAGTGCAGCACTATGCATACCTTTATAAAATCAATACATTTTCCAATATAATTCCACTTAACAGTTAACTGTAATGTTCATTAATATTCCTATTGCCAGTCCACATTCAAATTTCCCAAATTGTTCCCAACATCCTTGTCAATAGTAGCTTTTCCGTTTGGGGTTTGATGGAGGGCCACCCGTTGTATTTCGCGGTAAAGTCCAAATTTAACCTCTGACACCTAGGGATTCTGAGCGAACCTAGGTAGGAGACACTGTCAAGGACATTTTCGAACCACTAATAAGAAACTGTAAAGTAACGTCAAGGCGTGGCAAATGTGATCTTGAATCTGGCTGGCTCATCGCGCAACAGTCTGTGAACGGTCTGGGCCGCACCCATGATAGTGCAGGCCATGCTCTGCCTTCCTGCTTCTGAACTCTCTGCCCTGGTGGGGAGGTGCTGCCTAGGCCTTGGTTGTACACATCTGGGATGGAAGGCGGGGTGCCAGGACTGCGCTGCCTGGAAACTTACCTAGTAGAGTGGGCTTGTGACCCAGACTGCTGGAGCAGGAACCCCCACTCCCAGCCCTACCCCTCCAGACCTTCCCCTGGTTCAACCTCCAGTTCGGGCTCGTGGATGCAGTGGGACTGAGCCCACATCAGGAATAGGTGCTCGGTGCGCGCTGGGAGCTGCAGGGATCAGTGCCCAGCCCCACCTGCCGCGCAACCAGAGAAAAGCCCCTATTGGCTGCAGGAACGTAAAGTATATCACAGACTGTGAGCGTGCCAGAGAGCACCGGCGGTGGGTCTGAGGTGGTGCCCGAGCTCTGGAGCCAGTAAGACCGGGGTAAATTTCAACTGTCACCTGTAAGCAGGGGCTAGAAAAAAACCTAGGCAAGAGGTATCTCAACTGACAATGAAGATATTATTAATGACCGTCTCATGGCGTTGTTTTGAAACATAAATCTAAGCTGTAAAATCAAATAGACTGGTTCAGGGTACTAAGCCTTGAGTAAATGACAACTGTTGTTATATTTAGAAGACACTTTGTTCCTTTCATCGGGTGATTTATGTAAACCTCACAACCATTCTAACCATTCTGTGGGGTGGGTATAACCATTTGAACCAAAGATAACAACCAAGACTCAAGGTTGGGAGAGTGAATGTGCCCAGGTCACCAACTAGCAGGGAGGGAGTTTGGATTCAAGGGCAAGTGTCCTTTACTTACAACCTCAGTATTTGTGTAAATACAACACCTGCCTAAAAACAGCACTGCAGTCTTCAGAGCACTTAGCAGACTAACCTGTCCCTAAATCCTCAGAGATATAATAGGAAGTGAATGTAGATAGAATCTACCATGCCTCAAATGTATTCAGGGATTTCTGGTGTCTCCTCAAATATCTTAAGTCAGACAGAGGCAGTCTGTATTTTCAGTCTGAGATTACAGTGAATTCCAAGAGGCTCAGCTTTGTGGCCTTAAAATTAGTTACCTGGGCTCAGGTCCGAGCTCCTAGGAAATTCATTTCAGAGCAAAGCAGCTCTTGTGAAGCAGGAAGCAAGGTGACTCTGGTAATAGGAATCTTCCCAGGAAGAGAGCACCCTTCACCCTAGACTTAAATCAAGAGTTTCAGAGCAGAGACAGAAGAACCCACAAAGGTCTGCATAGCCAGAAGCAGTTCTTGATCCTTCTGTCAAGAATGAGACAGACTTGGTGATGC